TAATAATCCCCAATTACTAAACATAACTGGATAAAAAGGACTATTGCATAGGAAGTTGTGAAATGGTGGTTCAGTTTTTCAAAGCTCATAGAGACACAGCAAGGATTGATCATTTCAAGTTTCCCACTGATTGCCTTTGGAGACAAGTTCTGAGTTCTAAAGCACATTCTGTGTGAGCTAAGAATGGAAAAATCATCAGACTTGCAAAGGCTAAAAGAATAGAAGCCAAAGTCTATAGGAATACAGTCTTCCAAATTTATTATCTGTTATGCATTGATTTATCACATGTGGCGGGAATTTAAAACAGATGTGTGTTTTGTGGAGGAGACTATCCCATGACAGGGGAGAGGAATGTGACCTCAACTTGAAAGTAAAGAATCAGAACTCGTACATGGTTCAGAAGTTTCCTTTTATGCTAGTCATATAATGAAATAAAAGTTCTCCAATCATCTTTTCAAATTAACTGGGACTTCATTTCTTAATCTGGAACTTGTTGAAACTTCTGGCTTTTGAAATGCAGTTATTTTCATTGAAATGCAATTATATTTGAAAAATATTTCAAAGATCTAAGATTTTCTGAGTAACTTTTACTTAATCTAAAGCAAAATATCCTCGGAAAATACAGCTTTGATATGTAAATATTTACACATCCCTACTTTCTCTGTTCTCATCTGTAATTTCAGACATCACATTTCAATAGCTAGAATTCAATAACACGTCTTTGTCTGACATCTGCTTTTTTTTTAACTGAAGCTATAAAGAAGTCTATTCTTTTCAGATCACATTTAAGTACCGAAAGTAATTTCATTTTAAAGATTATATCTAAGGAAAAAAAAGATTCTTTTCTACATTAGCCTAACATATCTACCTACAGTTATATAAACTTTCTATTTTTCAATACTTCGAAATTATTCGTAGAGATTTCTCATAATAAGTGTTTTAGTTTGGAAACAGTCTTGAGACAAAAAATGCACAATATAGAATAACTTTGTAGTCATTCGTCTAGTTTTGAGGGAAAATTATCTTAAAAATCATTAGTTAAGCAAAAATGCTTTTCTCAAAAGTACCTGTGATTTAGCTTTCAGTTTATTTTTACTATCCATTTATATGATCAGATAAAATTTTAAAAATAATTCATCAATTTAGACAGTTTTTATCACAGGAGAAAAACTCAAGACAACTGATCATACTGTGGAGACGTCCACATGTGCACACATACATGTATATTGAACACAAAGAGAGTTAATTTGCTCAAAGCTAGAGTGATCATTGACAGTCTAAGAAAAGCAGAGAAGGAAGGTCCCTCTCCCTGTAAGAAGTTATTGAAGGAAACTAGACACATGCCTGGAAGAAGCTACCTGAATTTCTCATTGCATGTCTATAAACTGCCAAAACGATTTGTTCATTTGTTTAACTTTCCTCAAACATGTATTGAGTACTCATTGTGTTCTGGACATTCTTCTAGGCATGAGGGGGAAAGAAAATGAAAAAGATGTATAAATGATATGTCTTGCTTAACAAGCTTAAGGTTTCTTAAGGAGGTAAAAGTGACATGCAGTGAAATGCAATACCTGGCAAGTGTACAACTGGGTGAGCTTTAACAAATGTAACCATGTAACCAACACCCCAATCAAGATATAAGACACTTTCATCACCCCTAGAAAGTTCCTTTATGTCCTCCTTCAGTCAATCTCCCTTCCCAAATAGGCAGTCATGTTCTGATTTCTATCACTATGGATTAGTGTGTCTGCTCTTGAAGTCACATAAATGGAATTATACAATACATATTCTTTTGTGTCTGATTCTTTTACTCTGTCCAATGTTTTAGAGATTCATCCATATTGTTGTATTAGTAGTTCATTCCATTTTATTATTGAGTAATATTCCTGTGTATAAATATGCAACATTTTTTCAAAAATCCATAACCTTGTTGATGGACATTTGTGTTTGTTTCCAGTTTTTGGAGTAAAGCTGCTATTAATATTCTTGGTCAAGTTTTTGTGAATTTATATTTTCCTTCTCTTGGATAAACACCTAGGATTGGAACTGCTGGGTCATTAAGTGGGTGTATAATTTTATAAGCTCCCAAACAGTTGTCCAAAAAAGCTGTACCATTTTATACTCCCATGAGCAGTGTATGAGAGTTCCACTTGTACCATACACTTGCCAACAACTGATGTTGCCAATCTTTAATTTTAGCCATTTTAGTGGGTGTGAAGTAGAATTTCAATGTAGTTTGAATTAATATTTCCCCAATGACTAATGATGTTAGTATCTTTTCACGAGCTTATTGACCACTTGTATGTCTACTTCTGTAAAATGTCTGTTCAAGTCTTTTGCCTATTTTTAATTGGGTTTTTAAATCCTTTTATTTTTTATTTGTAGGAGTCCTTTGTAATGGCATAATGATATAAGTTCTTTATCAGGTATATATATAAGAATATTCTCTCTCAGTTTTTTAATAGACTTTATTTTTTAGAACAGTTTTAGATTAACAGCAAAACTGAGCAGAAGGTGTAGAGAATTCCCATATACCTCATGCCCCTACACCTCCTCCCTCACTATCAACATTCTGCACCCAAAGTCCATGGTTTACATTAGGATTTTCTCTTGATGTTGTACATTCATTGGATTTGGACATACATCCACCATTATAGTATCATAAAGAGTAGTTTCATACGGAGTAGTTTTAATGCCCTAAAATTCCTGTATACTCTGCCTATTCATCTCTCTTCCCTGAACCCCTGACAACCACTGATCTATCTACTGTCTTTGTAGTTTTGCCTCTTCCAGAATAGTTGGAATCATACAGTATGTAGCCTTTTCAGATTGGTTTCTTTCACTTAGAAATATGCATTTAAGATTCCTCCATGTCTTTTCTTTTCTTTTTTTTTTTTTTTTTAAATATTTATTTATTTGGCTGCACAAGGTCTTAGTTGTGGCATGCGGGATCTAGTTCCCTGACCAGGGATCGAACCCAGGCCCCCTGCATTGGGAGCGCAGAGTCTTAACCACTGGACCACCAGGGAAGTCCCCTCCATGTCTTTTCATGGCTTGATGGCTCATATTAATATTTCAGTATCTGGATGTACCAGTTTATTTATCCATTCACTTACTGCAAGATATCTTGCTTGCTTCCAAGTTTTGGCAATTATTAATAAAGCTGCTATAAACATCCATATACAGGTTTTTGTGTGGACATAACTTTTCAACTCATTTGCGTGAATACCAAGGAGCACAATTGTTGGATCATATGATAAGAGTATGTTTAGTTTCGTAAGAAACTGCCAAACTCTTTTCCAAAATGGCTGCATCATTTCGCATTCCCACCAACAGTGAGAGTTCCTGTTGCTCCACATCCTCACCAGCATTCGGTTGTTAGTATTTTGTATTTGGGGCATTCTAATAGGTATATAGTGGTATCTCATTGTTGTTTTAATTTGTAATTGCTTAATGACACATACTATTGATCATCTTTTTCATATGCTTATTTGCCATCTGTATATCTTCTTGAATGAGGTGTCTGTTTAGGTTTTTGCCCATTATTTAATTAGATTGTTCTAATTAAAGAATTTGGTATATACACACATTGTGAATAGATTGACACTATCAAGCTAATTAACGTATCTGTCACTGCGCATAGTTTCTATTTTTTGTGTGTGTGGTAAGAATACTTAAAATCAACTGTCTTAAAAATATGGACTGCTTCTCGAATTTGCATGTCATCCTTGTGCAAAAGCCATGCTAGTCTTCTCTGTATCATTCCAATTTTAGTATACAAGCCGCTGAAATGAGTACTCAAGATTTATTTTTTCCACACATTTTTTCCAGTTGTTCCAACACTATTTGTTTAAAAGGCTTTCCTATCCCATTGAATTGACTTGGCACCTTTGTATTGATAAATATTCAATTAACCGTATATGTGTGGGTCTATTTTTTATTTCACTGTTCTGCTTTACACACACACACACACACACACACACACACACACACATTTTATTTTATGACTGTGTTGTATAATCCAGGCTGGATTCATTATTATATTTTTATTATAATTTACATATTATATTTATTATAATTATATTCATTTTAAAATTCTATTTTAAAAAACTAAAACAAAACCATTTTCATGGCTTTCTAAAAGTGTTGTGGGCCCTAGGCACTGTACACTGTGATTAAGGTTAATTGGCTGTGGTAGGGATAAAGCTAGCTTCTGCACCCGTAGCCATGTCAGAGACTAGGCACAGGGGCCTATGAAATTTCTCTGTGAGCGCAGGCTGGACTTGTAGCCCCCGAGAGCAGCAATTATCTAGTAACCTGTGATAGGTTACTTTTAATACAGTATTTTCATTTTGTTATCCCTGACCCTTCAGTAAAGTCTTTTAAATATTATGATCCTGACTTAGTTGGTCTATGGGGAATTAAGGAAAATATCTTTATCAGTCAGCGTTCTTGGTTGTAAGCAACAGAAGCTGACTTTAGCTGACGGAGTGGGAAAGGATTTTTATTAAAAGGTATGAAGTAGTTTACAGAATGGTTGGAATATTTGGAACATTAAACTCAAGGCTAAGCTTTTAGGAAGAATGCCCAAAACCACATTCCGTGAGCAGGTCTAATGAGGAAAATGTTGCCACCACCAGGCACTAGAAGTTACAATTTACCCCATTGCAATTTTGTGCCAGGAAAGCAGTTGTACTCTTACTGCTATAGTCATTAGCCCCAATGTATTATTTGTGCCAAGAATTCAATCTTGCAGCCCCTGTACTGCTAGCACAGAGTGAGAGACTGAATGTTTCATTAATAATTATGTAAAAACACTTTGCCGCATATAAGACCAACCAAAATGTCTGAAGAGCAGAAAGTCAGGAGAATAGGGGATTCTCAATTTCTCAAGAAACCAAAGATACCACATAATATATATACTCAAGGAGCTCACAGTTTCTGAAGGAGAGAAACATATGCACAACTACTAGTAAAGCCACTCTCCTCTTTAATATTAGTGAAATGCTGTGGGAGCAGAGAAGAGAAGACAATTTCAAACAAGGAGAATTTGAGTCTTAGATCTTGAAGAATAAGCAGGATTTTGGTAAGCAGAGAATGAAACATTCCTGGATAAAGGGAACCAAGTGGGCAGGTAAGCAGAGTTCAATTGCACGGTGTATTTGAGGAACTGTAAGTGGTCTACTGTGGGTGGTGGAGAGGCTGCGGTGAGGTGTGAGGCTGAAGAGGTTGATGACTATTATGTCGTGTGAGCCTTACTTAAATATGAGCTCCGGAGTTCAAATTTTACTCTGGAAAGCCCATTGGAAGTTTTTGAAAACAGGAAGTAATATGGTACTCAACTTCATCACTGTGCTTGAGGTGGATTAATTATCCTAGGTTAGAGGAACAGTAAGAGACGCTGGGGAAGTGATACAAGAGTTAGATGGACTTTGGACTAGCTTACTCCAAGGTGTTTTCTGACCATAAGACTTGATCATTGGAGAGAAAAAGACAATTGGCAGAGATAGCAAATACTGGCCAAAGTACTTCAGGAATAAGGTAATGAGAACCTGGACCTGGTGGTAATAGAGGGCATGGAAAAGAATACACACATTTGAGAGACATATTTGAGAAAGAAAACCTGTGTTAGTGTCAGACTGAATGTGAGAAGTGAGAGAAAGGAGTCCAAAAATTCCACAGGGTGCTTGAGAACAGAATACTCAGAGTCAATGTTCAGGAAGAGCTATGGCCCTGAAGTCGGTGGATTTGCTTGGATGCTTCTGAAAAGAAAAACTCTTGAGCTCTATTGTATTAAAACAGCTTTGTTTTTTAAAACTAGTGGAGAAAGCTTTAGCCCACCAGGAAGCTTGTCCTTCCCCAACAGATGGAGTTACAAAGCTTGAACTTGGTCCGGGGCAACTCTGTTCCATAGCAACTAAACCTAGCAAGAGACGTAGCCATGAATTAGAATGGGATCCGGAATGTAACCCTTAAGTCCTGGTGTTTTGCTTTGTTCCCTCTGAAGATTCTATTCTAGATATGTTAATTTTGTTCTATCATTCCTACTGCCCCCTTTGCCCTTACAATTCCCAATCCTCTCTTTTTATAAGGCTACCACTTTTCATGTCTTGCACCTGGGAGAATACTAGTACCCATAAGGGAAGGTCAGAGAGGGTGTTCATTTGTGAAAAGGATAAAGAATTTTATTTCAGATGAGTTGAGTGTGAACTAAAGGCAAGAAATCTAGGTGCAAATTTCCAGCAGTAGATAGAAAACACAGATCTGAGCTCAAAAAAGAAATTGGAAATAGAGGTACAGATTGCAAAGTCCTGGTCAAAAGCTGAGAGTTAAAGTTGCTGAAGATTCCAATGGAAAGTGGTTATAGAGAGAGCCAGAGGGCTCTGCTGTGAAACTTGGAGCTTGGTCACCTCTATGCAGTGTAGGGAGGAAAAAAGAGTGAAAGGATCCAAGAACAAAAGAGGCAGTGAAGACAGATGAGAGAAAATCCAGGAGACTGTAGCCTCATGAAAGCAAGGGAAACAGTTTCCAAAAAAAGAGGATCACAGTCCATATTGGTTAAAGTTTTTTAAGTTTAAGAGGTTTGCCAATAACAGGGAGGCCAAAAGAAAGACAAAAAAATAATATAGAATTCAATTAGGCAGAGAGGAGATTCTTACCAAGTCACAGTAACATCTAAGGTTGTAAAATATGTTACTTGTTTAAAAGGAAAAAAGGGTCTGTCTGAGGGCATATGCTCTGTCTGTTGGGATCTTCAGCAACTCTAACTCTCAGTTTCTGACTAGGACTTTCCAATCTGTATTTCTTTTTCTAACTTCCTTTCTGATTTCATTCTGTGTTTGATATCTATTTACTAGGTTGGAAGAAAGTGGGCAGGCAGGAGAATGACCATCACTGAAAGAAAGGGCTCAGGAAAGAGCCCTAACTTCATAATCTCTGATAGACCTCAATCTATGCATTTTTGTGCCCCAAATTTTAGGCCAAGTAGGATGGAAAATCTGCTACCTTTGGTTGGATAAGTGATTCTGTAACCCTGGAAATATATAGAAAATTATGATATAGCTCAGAAGTATTGAATTCCCATTTTTGTAGTAGTTTAGGGCTATGTTTTATAATATTGTGATAATCCATATGTGTTTGTTGATTATTTAAATGTTTAGATAAATCATGCTGTTTATTCTGTCAGATATTTGAAGTATTTGAAGATTATAAAATTGGAAAACATAATTTAAAATATTTTAGGGGAATTTATCTTTTTGAAACATAATTAGCTGAATATTAGCCTAATAACAAGTAAAAGTGACCTTTTATACTTTAAATTATTCGATTTATAAATAGAATATGTTGAACTTAAAAATGAGGTTTAACTCTTAAAAAACATAGGGTAAAATATTTATAACATTGGATTTGGCAATGATTTTGTAGATAGGACACCAGAAGCACAGGCAACAAAAGAAAAAATAGATAAACTAAACTTCATCAAAAGTTTAAAACTTTTGTGCATCAAAGGACACTATCAAGAAAGTGAAAAGGAAAATCACCATGAGATACCACCTCACACCTGTCAGAATGGCTATTATCAAAAAGAACACAAATAACAAATGTTGGCAAGGATGTGGAGAAAAGGGAACCCTCATACACTGTTAGTGGGAATGTAAATTGGTGCAGTCACTGTGGAAAACTATATGGAGGTTTCTCAAAAAACTAAAAATAGAACTACCATATGACCCAGCAATTCCACTTCTGGGTATATATCCGAAAAAAACAAAAAAATCCCACTAATTCGAAAGGATACATGCACCCCAATGTTCATGGCAGCATTATTTACAATTGCCAAGACATGGAAGCAATCTAAGTGTCCATCAACAGATAAATGCATAAAGAAGATGTGGTATATATATACACAACAGAATACTACTCAGCCATAGAAAAGAATGAAATTTTGCCACTTGAAGCAACATGGATGGACTTGGAGGGCATTATGCTAAGTGAAATAAGTCAGACAGAGAAAGACAATTACTGCATTATATCACTTATATGTGGAAACTAAAAAATACAAGAAACTAGTGAGTATAACAATAAAGAAGCAGACTCATAGGTATAGAAAACAAACTAGTGGATATCAGTGGGGAGAGGAGGGTGGGGGCAACATAGGGGTAGGGGAATAAGAGGTACAAACTATTAGGGGTAAAATAAGCTACAAGGATATATGGTACAATACAGGGAATATAGCCAGTATTTTGTAATAACTATAAATGGAGTATAACCTTTAAAAATTGTGAATCACTATATTGTACACCTGTAACATATAATATTGTACAGCAACTATACTTCAATCAAAAAAGAAAGTGAAAATCTATAGAATTAGAGAAAATATTTGCAAATCATGTATCTGTTAAGAGATTAATATCTAGACTATGTTAAGAACTCCTACAACTCAACAGTGACAACAAAAACCCAATTAGAAAGTATAAAGATGTTTTAGGAGTGGAAAGGACTTGAATAGACATTTATCCAAAGAAGATATACACATGGCCAATAGGCACATTAAAAGATACTCAACATCACTGCTCATTAGGAAAATACAAGTTAAAACCACAATGAGATACCACTTTAACCGATTATGACATCGTTTATCAAAAAGTGAGAAATACCATTTGTCATTGGGAATGTGGAGAACTTGCAATCCTTATGCATTGCTGGTGGAAATGTAAAATGGTGCAGCTCTGTGGAAAACAGTTTAACAGATCCTCAGAAGGTTGAACATAGAATTAACTATGATCCAGGGATTCCACACCTCAAAGAATTGAAAGCAGGGACTCAAGCAGATACTTATACAACAGTGTTCACAGATGTATTATTCACAATAGCCAAAAGGTAGAAACAACCTAAATGTCCATCAACAGATGAATGGAAAAACAAATGTGGTATATATACACAATGGAATATTATTCAGCCCTAAAAAGGAACTAAATTGTGATAAATGCTACAACATGGAGGAACCTTGAAAATATCATGCTAAGTAAAATAAGCCAAGCACAAAAGGACAAATACTTATATGAGGCACCTAGAATAGTTAAATTCATAGAGACAGAAAGCAGAATGGAGCTTACCAGCAGGGATAGAGTGGAGCAGGCATACTTGTTTAATGGGTACAGAGATTCTGCTTGAGATGATGAAAAAGTTCTAGAAGTGCATAGTGGCAGTGGTGGTTATACAATATCATGAAAGTACTAATGCCACTGAATTCTACACTTGAAAATGATTGAATGGTAACTTTTATGTTGCATGTATTTTACCACAATAAAAGATAAAATTACATTTTAAAAACCCCAGGGTTTTAAGATTTACAACTTTAACAAATGGAATCCTGATTTTAATACAAGTAATTGTAGATGGGTATCCCTTTCCAAATCAATCTTCCCTGGACAGTGATAATTATCAATTGACAGAACTGTGAACAGGGTCCAGGAGCAATTTGACTTCAGGAGTCAAGAGATTAGTTTAAGTTGTCTGAAGCGGGCAGAAGGCAGAAATCGGAGGGCAAAGAGAATATCGGTGGTGAGGAAATTGAAAGTATTTGATTTTAAACGGAGGAAATAGCCTATACTTAGAAGAAACATTTAGGTCAAGTGACAATGGTGTTTTAATTTAGAAAAGACTGCTGCCTATCTGAAGAGACAGAATGGGAAGAGATTGTAGATGGTGGAAATCAGGATAAATGAGGTGAGGAGGATGGGGAGGACACAGGAAAGCAGTGGACATTGGAAGGAGGAGCACTTATTCATCTAAGATGTGAAGGAAAAGAAAAAATGTAAGGATGTGTTAGAGATGCAAAGGAAGAAAAGCCAAAGAGATCATTTACCAATAACTTTGATCTCTATACAGCAAGAGGTTGGAGTTTAAATTATCTCTGCATAATGAGGAGTTGCTAGAATGTAAGACTTTGCATGGCCTGTTTCCTCTGTCCTGAAAGCTTTTCCCCATCAAATGGCTCATTCCTCATCTTCTCAGTGAGCCCAACCCTCACACCATGTCTAAAATCTTCATCTGCTCCCTGCAGTCCCGAACTCCATTACCCGCTCCTTTTTCTTTTTTTCCATAGGTCTTCTCACTTTTAAACATTCTATGTATTTACTTACCGTATTTGTTTTCTCTTACCTATGACTCCCACTAGAATGTAAGGCCATTTGGACGGGGGTTTTTTGGGTCTCTTGTTTACTTAAAATGATGCAAGGTGCTCAATAAATATTTATTTATTTATATTATTATTTTTAAAATATATATTTATTATTATTTTTTTGGCTGCATTGGGTCTTCGTTGCTGCACACGGGCCTTCTCTAGTTGCAGCAAGCAGGGGCCACTCTTCGCTGTGCCGCTCAGGCTTCTCATTGCGGTGGCTTCTCTTGTTGCGGAGCACGGGCTCTAGGTGCGCGGGCTTCAGTAGTTGTGGCATGAGGGCTCAGTAGTTGTGGCTCGCGGGCTCTAGAGAGCAGGCTCAGTAGTTGTGGCGCACAGGCTTAGTTGCTCCACGGCATGTGGGATCTTCCCGGACCAGGGCTTAAACCCGTGTCCCCTGCATTGGCAGGCAGATTCTTAACCACTGTGCCACCAGGGAAGCCCAATAAATATTTTTTGAATGAATAAATAGAAAGGTTGATGTTGAATGGGGGCAGGAAAAAAAGGAGAGACAGTTTTTAGAAAAGTCATAGTTGAAAGCAGGACTGATATTCAGTTGTTTCAAACCATACAGCTGTACTGGTTGTTTAAAGTATTGACATGCTTTCATATCAGCTGGTAAATATCTGCTGCTCCTGCAACCTCGCTTCTCTCCCAAGTTGCCTCAATCAGCAACTAAAAGGTAAATACAGGGACTTCCCTGGTGGCACAGTGGTTAAAAATCCATCTGCCAATGCAGGGGACATGGGTTCGAGCCCTGGTCCAGGAAGATCCCACATGTGGCGGAGCAACTAAACCTGTGCTCCACAACTACTGAGCCCGTGTGCCATAACTACTGAAGGCTGCATGCCACAACTACTGAAGCCTGCGTGCCTAGAGCCCGTGCTCCGCAACAAGAGAAGCTGCCGCAATGAGAAGCCCGTGCACCGCAACGAAGAGTAGCCCCCGCTCGCCGCAACTAAAGACTGCACACAGCATCGAAGACACAGTGCAGCCAAAATAAAAATAAATTTTTTTAAAAGGAGGTAAATACAGGGTGCAGCTGGGATTCTCTCTCAGACCTTGCTGTATCAGTTCAAGGATGGTGCCTCTGCTATAGTAGTTAAAATTTTTGAATATTATCCCCAATATAGACAGTGCTAAGGAATCAGTAAGAGATGACCCAAAAGACTCCTGGGCAGCAGTATGGGCTCTGTTGGAGGTGACAAGTGTGAAGTTAGAGAAAGCAATATCAACAAAGTTCACTGACTTTTTCCAGTAACATTTGTCAGCTTGGGGACCAGCATGCAGAAAGTGGCAACAGAGATAATCCAGGAAGGTCAGATGCAGTCAGAAGAGTACAGGGGCTAGAGACTTAAGGTGCTAGGAGGAAGCTTCTTTGGCATGGTTGATAACGGAATCCAGCTTAAGGGCTACATGTTCTTAGGAGACTAACAGGTTAGACAACTTGGGAGGGCTCTGGTGTTGAGAGAATCCAGAATGGGGGATCACCCTACCATCCAACTAATCTGAGCTTTGGGGCTAAAAGGGCAGAGAGATAGTGTCTACTTCAACGATTTTTTTTTCCTGCTGTAACAGATCTGAGGAACTTGTCATTTCAATATTATATTGAGACAGAACCTCTTTATCGTGGGTTGTCTTGAACATTATAGGAAATAGCATAATCATATGATATGGTGCCTGCCCTCAAGATGTTTATCATCTAGTGGGAGAGAAGAGATTGATATTCTTCAAACAACGTATGTCACTTGTAAGATTGTGTATTATAGATTATAAATATGATTTGACTTAAAATTCTATGAAACCAATGTAAAAACAGTGGGTAGTAGACAGCATCTAGTAATCATCCAATGTTCTCCTGGACTCCATCACCAGTATATACTATGGTTTCAGATTCCCTAGAGAATTCTGCCTGCCAGTGAAAGTGCTGCCTTGAAATTGTGTTGTAAAGTGTTCAGACCCATTTCAAATGTAATGCATGTTATCATTGCTGTGATTAGCACCCATACAAGCTCCTGACCACCACCATGCCCATTCCAAATTTCCTCTTTGGAAAGAGCAGCCCTGGTAATAATTATTGCTTGGCCAGTAACCATTTCTGTACCTTTCCTTTCACTTTTGGCT